ATGTATGTATTACATTGTGCAGGCCAAGTATCCCCATAATTTGATAAAACCTGTTATTTTTATGTTGTAGGGACTATTTTTTCAGTCGCCACAAGGGAAACTCAGTTTTATTTTAAAAATTGTGACTCTGCCATCAAAAGACTAAAAATGCCAAAAGCCTGTGGCAGGGAACAACCCTGGACAGGGGGCCAGCCCATCGCAGGGCACACTCACACACCATTCATTCACACATACACACCTATGGGCAATTTAGCAACCCCAATTAGCCTCAGCATGTCTTTGGATTGTGGGGGGAAACCGGAGCACCCGGAGGAAACCCCACGACGACACGGGGAGAACATGCAAACTCCACACACATGTGTAAACTTGACAACCCCTGATCTTTTCACTAGCTAGAATCCCCCCTGGTTAACATTGCATGGATTAGGGTTTTTCCCCATAGAAATCAACAGTCTGCATGCATGACGCCGACACACGTTAGCTGACCTCCACATAGACCACCTAAGCAGACCACTGAGTCACTAAGGACCTGAGCTGCTGATGGCTGCAGCTTGTGCTCCTGGAAGATGCATCGCTCTGGTCCTCCATCAAAATACCCAGTTGCATAATTATCATACATTCAAGAATTCCTTCCTAGGATACAAAGTAATAACGTTTATCTCATCTTTCATTGACCTGGCAGATGGGTTTATTCTTAATGTTTGATCTTTTGTTGAAGCCTCTGGGGAGAGTTTGATGGGAGGGGCATTTTAATCTCATCTCTGAGCCCCACCCGGCCCTTGTTGGCTCAGCTGGGCATGAGCGCTGAGGATGGTTCACGCCGCGTCACCTTGGGGGAATCTACAGGCGCAGGTGGCCCCCCTGCATCCCAACCATCGGGAAACAGACTGCGAATCCATTCCCACAGCTGTGGCAGAGCCAGGAGCCATTCCCATTGGCCGACCTTGAGCCATTCCCATTGGCCGACCTTGAGCCATTCCCATTGGCCGACCTTAAGCTCCATGGGGCCTCAAGCCAAGTAGCATTTGCGTGTAAATACACACACACACACACACACACACACACATGCAGACACACACACACACACACAGACACAGTGTAACAATGCAGGTATGGTGAGGGGTACATGAGCACAATGTACATCAGGGTGTGAGGAGCAATGGCACGTCCAGGTTCAGAGACCTTATGGCCTGGGGGTAGAAACTCCTCCTAAGCCTCTCAGTCCTGGCCATGATCCCTGAGTCTCTTTCCTGATTTCAGAAGCTGAAACAGGCTGTTGTTGGGGTGGGATGTGTCCTTGATGATCCTGAAGGCCCTGCTCCTACATCTCTTGATATAACTGTCCTGAAGAGATGGAAGCGCCGACCTTCTCCGGAGGGCTTTGCGGTCCTGAACACGGCTATTCCTGAACCTGGAAGTAATGTTCTGAGTCAGGATGCTCTCCACAGTGCCTGAGTACACACATACAGACACACACACAGGCACAGACACACACAGACACACACACACATACACACACATACACATACATACATACACACACACATACACACATACACATACACACACATACACATACATACATATACACACACATACACACATACATATACACACACATACATCTACACACACATACACACATACATATACACACACATACATCTACACACACA